ACACATAAGGAAGAACGTGAAGCCTAGTGCAGCTGCTGCGGAGGGGATACCTGTTTTTGTCGCACTCATTATGTTAAATGGCGAAAATTGCTTCCAACACGTATTCCAATTGATGAAACCTGTGAAGGAAAATATGACAAAACTTTCGAAAACGTCATATGTCAGCGAGCAACAGAAAAAAACAACATTCCCCCTTGTGGCATCTGTCTTTCATGGCTTCATTTTTTGGGCAGATATGGCAATGTGCGCGCATTCCAGTTTTAGGCTATAGTTCATTGGGTTAATCACTCCTCGAAATCGTGTCACAAATTCGTCCGAAATCCCCGAAATCCTCTCGAAATCCCCGAAATCCTTCCGAAATCCTCCCGAATTCCACGAAATCACTCCGAAATCCGCCGAAATCCCTCAGAAATCTTTCCGCAGACCCAAAAATCCCTCGCAATTGGCCCAAAATTCATAAATCGGTCAACGTGGCCATTTTTCAGTTTATACTAATACACCTTCGAATATACTTACTTATAAGATACTTAAGTACCTAACAGTCTAAAATCAAATCAAAATCAAATTAAAATATTTCTCCGAAATCACCCGAAATCGTTCGAAATCATCCGAAATCCTTCAAAATTACCCGAAATCCTTCGAAATCATCCGAAATCCTTCGAAATCACCCAAAATCCTTCGAAATCAACCGAAATCCCTCAAAATCGCTCTAAATCCGAAATCTTGTCACAGTGAATAATCTCTCGAAATCTTTCCGAAATCCTACCGAAATCACCAGAAATCCCTCAAAATCGCTCTAAATCCGAAATCTTGTCATATTTTTCCCTTAGAGTGAATAACCCCTCAGGTATTTCATCGTCGCCGGTGGATTTCTTGGGTTTAGGTTTTCTTATACCACTGATTACATCACTTTTAGTGATGTTTCCAAAGTCAAAAGTGCCTCATTCTTTATTTTCATAATGATAGACTAATTAGAGAGATTTGAAAAATCATCACTTTCCGTTTGATCACTTCCAACTGATGTACTGATGGCCACTCAAATCTTCATGTACTTACTTCAAAGAATAAAAAAATTATGATAATATTTACATGCGCCAGCATTGTCAAAAATGTTATATCCGACGATATTTCCAACATATAGCACTTCGCAATCTTGAAAACCCCTTTGCAATCATGCAAAATCCCGCGAAATCATACAAAATTCCTCCAAATCGCGCGAAATCCCGCGCAATCATGCGAAATCCCGCGCAATGATGTGAAATCCCCTATTTTTTGCAATCACCCTACTGGTTCACCCCTCAGAAATTAACGAAATTCCAAAACTACTGATAATTTATTCATCACATATTCAACTCTGTATCACCCATGAAATTGAATAATCCATGTTTTTTTCGTTCGTGTGAGAAATGTTTCACAAATTTCTTCAATGTATTGATACATGATTGATTAGTTTCAATATTTACTTGTAATAAAGTAACAATTTCGTCTTCATTAGACCATTTGGTTGGATTAAATGTATTGTTTAAATTCTTTAAAGTTATTTCCAGAGTTTTAATACTTTTTCCAATAAGGGTAGTATTAATGTGATATGTTGTGTTGTGATGTAAGTGGTTCTTATAGAAAACTGTTAAATAGGATTTCCTAATGGTGTTAACGTGTAGGCGTGACTGGAAATTCCTATGATGAGGACGATGAAGGTGGCCAGGAACATTTTGGTTTTCAAGGCACAATGCTTGAAACTGAATCACTTTTTTTTTTGAAAATTCAATTGCAGGACTTAATTAAGCACTCTGATGAATATCTGCTCCGACCGCGCCAATTATATTTTTCGTTCAGTAGAAAAACTAATTATTTTATTAAAAACGCGGCAAAAGCCCGAGAACAAAAGAATCCTAATACTAATTAAAATCTAAAAACAAAAGAATGAGCAGAGAGCTCCACGCGGACTATTTATAATAAAATTATGCTGACGGTGCAACTATATCAGTGAAACCTTGATATGACGGTACTTTTCCAGGCTAAATATCCCTTACTCAGCAACTTTATAATATGGTGGGATTTTACAGTGGCGTATGCTTATGTTTGACATTGAAAAGGGGTTACATTGGTAGATATTCTATTAACAGGACTGAATAGTAAGTACCAAGTTTGACAGTAAGGAGTGTGCAGTGAACATTAACTTCACGTCCAATAACTTTGAGTGTGTAGATAAAAAGATTCGAGATATCCGTGGCTTTTTATGACGTAGTAGTTAAGGATGTTTAAAGGAAAAGAGACATCAAAGTATTCCCTTCTGCGATCAAAAGTTAAGTCTTAGTGAGTCATAGTCTGATCACCATTGAGAATCGCAACACTCAGAGAAAGTATGTACCTTGCAAATCTGATCAATTTATGTTGAACACTCTCAAGCCTATTGATGTAGATCTGATAGTAAGGTGACTAAACTATAAATGAAAATTCAAGAATGGATCTGACTAGTGATGTGTGAAGAATTTTGATAGGGCCTATACTTGTAAAGTCCCTAGTAGCTCTTTTGATAAAACCCAACATTCTATTAACATTACCAATTACCACTTCAAAATGTTCGGTGAAAATTAACCTTGTACCTACCTAGATAGACACCAAGATCTTTAATAACAGAAACTTTAGAAATCAATGCTGAAAGGGAATCTTACAGGTGAGTCTAGTGAATCTGATACAACAACGCTTATCAATGTTGAGGGACAAATCATTAAGCTGACACCAATCATAAACTATGTTCATCCATGAAAGTAAAGGTCCAGAAACGCCATAACTTGAGAGCTTTTGCAAGAACGATGTTGTGGTTTACCTTATCAAAGGCTCCACTATCAAAAGACAAATTTATAAAATTTGTGAAGAGAAACAGATTTGTGTTGACAGATCTATCGGCTGTAAAACCGTGCTGTTGACTGATCACAATCTTATGAAATATTTCTCAAGGAATTTTTTGAACGAACTGCTCAACAGGATTCTGATAGGTCTGTACTTTGTTAATATCATTCTTCTTGTCTGAGTTGTGAATAGGACAAACATAAGAGAGCTTCCACATTCCTGGAAAAATTCCAGAAGTAAAGGATTTATAAAAAATATTACATAGAGGGACATACAGAGAGTCGTAGAATAAGATTTTAGTAGGTAGTCTGTAAGGAAAACCATCAGGTCCTGCAGACTTGTTAATGTCCACTTGTGTTAAAGCCTTCTCAGTATCAGTTGGGTCTATGATATTGCTATGAAATTACAGATTCACCTTCTGATAAAGGTATGCAATCTGACAGATAAAAACGCAATCTGTAATCCCATTGTTCGGCCAGTTATCCGCCAACGAACAGAATTATTATAGAGCCCATATAGTTTTAGCTGATACTTGATGGAAATCCATTAAATATTTTGAAAGGAACGAGGGGTTTGAGATTATGAAGATCTTCCTGTAAACTTTTCCAATTCCGACAAGTACGATATTCTAATAAGTACATTCCTGATTTGGATAGTTTATCCAATCTAGATTTCTTATTTTTAATGAGTTTACCTAAGTTGTTATTCGTTCCAAAAACCATCTTTATCTTATTTTTGGATAAGTTTTTGGAAACAGTATCTGCACTTATATGTAATAGATTTATATTTTTGTGCAGAATATGGTCTCTGTCAAACGCCTCAGCAAAGTCAGTACACATAACATAGCTGATATTTATTAATTAGCCTGACAAGCATGTTCCGCGAATATACAAAGATTTGCGGACGTGGATTTATCAGGAACAAATCTATGTTGTGAAACTCATATTGATGGTTTTGCTAACACAAAAAGGTTTATATAAAGATCAAAGAATATTTTCAAATATTTTAGCTATGCCAAGCCAGATACCAATCCAAGTAGGCAATGTAAATCAATTGCTATGGCAAGACCGAGGGGTGGCTTACTCCCCAAATCGCTGAACAATTTAATCCGAAATTCTGTGAAATCCTGTGGTAATCCATTCAAAATCGCGAAATCTTATCCAAAATCCTTACGAAATCCCAACCGAAATCCTTCTGAAATCCTGAAATCCCAACCGAAATCCTGAAATCCCAACCGAAATCCTTCTGAAATCCCAATAGACTTCGAAATACTTAGTGGTGCGGCGTTGAAAGTTGAATGTCTGAAATCTTTCGAAATCCCCTGCGATTTCCAAAATTGATGTACAAATTGTCGTGAGTGAGCCTCCCCTTGGGAAAGACACTATACACAGATAGACTGACTAGACTAAACTAGGGGAATACAGGGGTATTGATAATGTAAATCTAACAAGAACTATGTTAATAAAGGCATCTCCCAGGATGCCTTCTGTATGTTATGAATCAATACAGCAATATTTATTCACCAGATCAAGAGATGAAATTCCATTGGTTTTGAACAAATGAATGAACGTTTTAAGCTAGTTGTGCAGCTTTTAGATAGCAATATAAACAAGTTCTTACCGTTTTGGCAATGTCTTGTAAAGAGTTTCAACTTGAGGCGTAGAAGAGCTCCGCAGCAAAGGACTATTATCTCTGGCTTGTTGTTTGGATTCATTTTTAGGCTTTTCTATATTCGACATGTATATTTTAAATTATCTATGTAGATTAATGGTCACTTAATTTGGAAATCTAAACAAAAATAACTGATAAAGATATTTACATACAACCTATGAATAAAGCAGCAATTTGGTGACGAGCTTATTAGCAAAATGCCTACCTGGAATTCTATTTTTAAATGGGACTTCAGACATAATAATTATTAACACAAAAACATGAATTGATAAGTAATTGAATTTGTTTTACGTACAATAATAAAGAAAATATTTTTCATTTGCGGTCAGGGACAAAGTTTCATCTTTCTTTCTTTTTGGTAGATCTCTTGGCAAAGAGATACTTTACCTTTCTATTTTTGTAATTTTCGAATTTCCTAACCTAAAAACATAAAAATAAACACAAGTTGATTAGTTCAAAAAAAGACTGAACTGACAGTTTATTATTAGGTCACAAGTATGCTACATACACTTCAATTTATTATAAATAATACACAACCAACTAATAAATTTATGTAAAAAATCCATTTATTTCATTTCACAACATTAATTAGAACTTCGAAAAAGTTCTTTTACAATAATAGTACGATACCCAAAAAGAAACCTGAATAATGAAATTGTAAACAGCACTAAAATCATATAATTATTGAGAGCATAAACATGGAATGACAAATATTTCAGAATTAATTTAATAAATTATCTCTATTTCTCTTTACGTTCACTCAACAAGGAATTGTGCAGTCTTGTTACTTCATTTTCGACTAGATCTTGACAGATAACCCCATTTATGGTAACAAAGTTGGCACAGCTCTTTTTGGACTTGGTTTCCCTCACCGAGCCACTTTTGGGTTGTTTCACACATAGGTGAAGTTCATATTCATCATTGTATCTAATTAAAAATAATACCATTACTTAGTGTGAATCTTTCATAAATGATATTCTTACTTTCCCATAGATGAACTGGCTTCCCAGACAGCACCCTTTCGAGCACCTTCTTTCTGAATGCATACAGCAAATATGCCTTTTTCCTTGTAAGTTGTGTACAGAGTCAAAATTCCCATCATTATGAAATAGGTGGCCACACTAAAAATGAGAATTGGTCTAGATTGTGGGAATGGATACAAATAGTCCCAAAGTAAGGCGAACATAGCAACACCAACTGCTATAGTGCAAATTACTAATCTTCCATCCATCAAGTTGAAATTTTCAGTGTAATTGAACTTTTTTGTTAGGACCTGGAATATTAGATTGGTAAATATAATATTGAAAACATTTATTCAAGAAGCCTACCTCTTTAACAGCATCATCCAATGAATTTTTCACAGCTGAACTGTCCCATTTGTTAATTTTCACAATTTCCTGAAATTGTGAATTTTGAGCATAATGTTAATAACAAATAAATGAAAATCTATTTACTTTTTCGTCCTTTCCTTTAACATCGTTTTCTTTGGGAGCCATAATAAGTAAATATTTTTCAAAGTTCCACTGAAAATTTACTAAAAATCTGGAATTTTTTTATAGATCAAATACTATTCAAAACGTACACGTCAGAAAATTCTTTGTTGACATGCGGCAAATGAACGAACTGTACATTGAATGAAATGAAGTTAGCTGCCTTTTTTCTAGAGAAGGGTTTATCGATATGAATAAGTATCGATACGATATACTTTGAAAATCTCTACTTTTTTATATCGATTTTAATATGAGAAAATATCGATACTGGGTGAGTTCGGCTTGCTCACTCGGAATGACTCCATTCGCACTCCAGCCGTTCGGGTTAAGGTTCGGGTATTGCTTTTTACGGTATCAGGGGTGACTCCATTAGCTCTGTTCACTCCACTCCAACTCCGCGCTGAATAGCCGAACTCACCGACTCTCGATACGATATTTTTGATTATTTTTACTGCTACTGCTTGGTTTTAGAATTTAAAAATTCTTTCTTGCAATCATATCTACTACTTGTAGTAGTTGTAGTCCTTGTTCTTTACATAATTTATTATTTTGAAATATTTCTTAAAGTTTGTTTTTTTTTTAAAGATAATTCCCCAAGTCAAAAATTTAGTAACTATGTTGGCAACACAAGCCTTTTCTACATAAAAAATTTGAAAGCATTGACAATTTTACATGGTATTGCCAACATAATGTCAATTTGACTTTTATCTTTAAAAAAAAAACACACTTTATGAAATATAATAGGTGAGTTCGGCTTGGCAACTCTTTTGACTTCTTTGACCCTTTTCACTGCAAAATCGTTCAAGTCACGCCACTGGGAGCAAATAGTGCAAGCTCTTCATCGTTCGGATAGAGCCAAAGTAGAGTGAAAAGAGTTAACTCCACAAGCACCACCTCGAGAGATCAAGCTCGAGGAGCGGGCGCCTATATTTCCAAAAGGCGGTAAAATTTAAGCTTTCGATAATTATTCACTATCCCAACTATCCTAACCTAAAGAGTTCAAAGAAGATATTTTTTGCTTGAGGCTAGTTGTCTTCTGGGGCTCCTGGTAGAACAAATGGCTCGGCTACCCAAAATCTCAGCAAAAATACGACGAAAAAACGACTCATCAACCAAGACCAAACGACATTATTTGTTTATAGTCATAAAACTCATAAATAGTATATAATAATAATTATGGAAAATTAATTACCGTAAAATGGGGTTACTTGGGACAAATTCACTTCCATTTTTTCAATAATGTGGTAATTTATCAGAGTTTTTAGGAAGGCAGAGCAACAATTCCTGTGTATAAAATTTCTTTCATATGCATTTAACCTATAAAGCACCATAAATGGCTCCTACTGTAAGAACATTTTGTAGAAAAAAATAAAATATTCACTGTCCCAAGTTACCCCGCATTGGGGTTAGATGGGACTGTACCGGTTTTACACCGAAAATGCATGTTAAACTACTCAGGGGTTACTTGGGACAGCAGAAAAATAAAAATAATACCCCAGCGCACATCTTGAGTTGAAATTTTTTTTTCAGCGAATTATATAGAGCGATGAAAAATCTGGGTTAACATCAATTTATTAAAAATATTTATTTATTCATTATAAAAATATGCAAAATATATGCAAAAATACTTAAATTAAAAATAATGGTGGGTGTCAATCAGGACCAGGGAAATTATCTTTAAATCGTCTTTCTACAACACCCTTAATATCTAGATATTCAGTCCTATGATGTATCATTTTCTGTTATTTTAACAGCAACCTTAAGTTATCTGTCACTGTTTATTCTACACGTAAAAATAGAGACAGGTATAGATTTTGAGCTATAACACAACTGTTAAAATAACAGGAGAGGATACATCATAGGCCTGATTGCTTCACAATGCGTCTTATTTCAAAGTGAGTTAAAGGAAATCCCCATTCAGCTGCTCTAATAAGTTCATCTTCTTCCGCTTTTTCCAGAACTGTAGGTCTTCCATATCTTCCTAAATTATGATTTTTACATCTTCTCTGTAAAGTTGATTTGTTTACCTTCCATTTGTCGGCTGCTGTTTTATAGGACTTTCCAGATTGTACGTCTTCTATGGCACTTTTCATATTGTTTCCTTCGAAGGCGTGATATTTATTAGAACCTACTTTGCGAATATATTTTCTTGGCATGTTGACCCCTGAAAACAAAACGGATTAAATAACATGGGGTAACTTGGGACACGGCCTAACTTGGGACAATGGTTGTCCCAAGTTACCCAAAATAAGGAATTTTTTTGAAAAAATATTTCAAAATCTAAAAAAAATTGTCTAAAAGCGGGCAACGAAATTGGCAGTATTTAGAAAACATACAAAATTAACTAAAAAGTGTAATTGGACTTACCTGTTTACCTTTTGACTCCCTCTTCCAGATAAAGTTTTCGACCATTTATTTTTGCTTTGCTTCTCACCACCACTTATGTTTTTTTTATACTTTTGAAATATCATTAATTTATAAAGAATTCATTGATTTAATCATCAACAGGTTGCTCTTCAACTAACCAAAACATTAAACTGAAGATATGTTTATATTTGCGTTGTTGACGCTAGTAAAATTAGAACATCCGAAGTTGCGTCCCGAGTAACCCCGACGTCCCAAATAACCCCATTTTACGGTACTCTTAAATTTGTTCTGTCTACTTCTCAGTTTTTCCAGATCAAGTACAACTGGGCGTAAAAACAGAGCCTAGGAAAGCGCAAATTCTGAACTCGGCTAGGCTACACCAAGGATATTACACACTACTATACAGGATTGTTCATCAGCCTCGATTTTTGGAATCAAGTTCATATAGTGTTGCACCGTTGACAACGTCATCAACGGTGTCGTTAGCGGTTTGCGCCAGCGGTCGTAGTTAAGAATATACATTTAGGATGAAAAATATTATTTAATTTTGACAACAACGTATTAATATACTAAACCAAATATGCATGAAGCAATAAATCAGCGCAATCATAACCTGTGGTGTAAGCACCTCAAAGATAATACACACTACTACTACCTACTACAGGATAGCCTATCCTCATAAGGCCTGTGAGGAACCAATCTGAAGCCCCCACAAAGCCAAATCACCAGTTGTGACGTAGGCAGGATGTCGTTTCTCGCCTTGACGTAGGCTGTTTGCACTACAGGTTATGATTCCGCGGACTAACCGTTTATAACCCGCGCGGTTACACACGGTTACTCTCCCACTTCAAAAATATATCCCTACCATTGGCAGATTTCTAGGATTAAACCGCTTCTCGCTAAAACGGAACGGTTATCAAATCAAATCAAAATATGCTTTATTGTCTAAGTAGATAAACTCTTATTGACAAAGCTGAATACTATAAATAGATATTAATATAAAAACAATATACAATAAATTAATAAAATTCACATACAATCAATAATAATAATAATACTAGTAATACTAACAACTCAAAAAAGTATAGTGGTCTCTTGAAATGTATATTGCGACAAAATCATGAGAGACAGCTTATAGACCATAATATGTGGATTATTGTCTCCTTCAACTTGATGACTAACTACTACCGGCGAGATCTGCCATTTTTTGATATCCTCCAATAACAAGAAATCTCAGAAAAAAAATCACTTCATCAAAACAATCATAAATTAATCTAACGTTAGAATTTTTCAGTTACTCATTTCTCGACTTGGGTATCAAAAACAATAACCGTGTTATAGAATGATAGTCGATAGACGTCACTTTTTAACAGCAAAACAGGGTCGGTTAATTTTCTGTAGGGTTTCCATACGTCTAGATTTACCCGGACATGTTAGGGTTTTTAGGATGTCCGGAGTAGTCCGGCCGGAATTCGGAACAATGTCCGGAGAACTCGGAGATCGTGGAAACACTCATACTCACCCATTTTACGCACTATCCAAAAAACGTAAAATTTTACTTCACGCATTAGTACGTAAAGTAATTCACTTTACACACTAGTGCGTGAAGTAATCTGACTGACAGATGCCGGCACTGTCATTTTTTTCTAGTAAATTCTTCACTTTACGCACTAGTGCGTGAAGTAGGTTGTCTGAATTTACTTTTTTCACGTTCCTATTTTATTGGTAGTAGAAAATTTTTTGTATATGCAATACGTGTGTAAAGTGAACCTTTTTTCACGAATGTGAATTTTGTCGCACTCGCCTTTCATTTTACACACACTTGTTGCATAAATAGCTATTTCGGCGAAGTCCGGATTTTGTCCGGATTTCTTGACTCCTTTGTCCTGAATTCCGAAAAACCTTTATGGAAACTCTAATTTCCTGGTAACCAGGGCCGTATCTAGGGGGGGAGGGGGTTTTGGGGGTTCAAACGCCCCCAAAAAATAATAAAATTCAAAAAATTTACCTCAAAAACAAACAACACTCATTAAATGCTTATTTATTTTTTTCATTTTTATTACTAGTGTAACAATTTTTTTTGCCACTTTGTGTAACCCCCCAAAATTTTGGTCTAGATACGGCCCTGCTGGTAACCGCTTCACGGGACTTCACGGGAGCTCGCTAAAAAATGCTTTTGGTTTTACTACATTAATTAACATTCTAAAACAACTCTTTTTTAGATCTTGTTTTCATCTTCCTCTTTGCCTATTATGTTAATCAAAATTAAATTATAATTTTCTTCATAATAAGGATAACGCACACCTAATGGGATTTTTGGGCTCTATAAAGTGCGTTTTTTTTTTAAAGATAAAAGTCAAACTGACATTAGGTTGGCAACACAATGTAAAATTGTCAATGCTATCAAATTTTTCATGTAGAAAAGGCTTGTGTTGCCAACATAGTTACTAAATTTTTGATTTGGGGAATTATCTTTAAAAAAAAAACAAGATTTTAGATTTTTCCCATTTTTTGATATGTTGTAGAGGATTTAATTCTGAACAACCTTTAAATGGAACGAAATCTTGTAGGTTTTACGGCCTTTGAGATATGAGCGTTGAAAGATGAACTTTTTCGCGACTTTTTGTGTGGAGAGTATACGAGATATGGTGCTACTGGTGTTTATCAATCAAAATATTGACAGGTTCACATATTTTACGTCACTTAAAAGTTAATGTCAGCATAGGTTAAGGTAGGGACCGCACTGGGGTCAATATTGGCGCCA